AAATATAAATTTATTTACAAATAGAGATCCTAAGAGATAGAGATGGTACATAAGAAATATAGAATTCTTTATAGATAAAAATCCTATTAAACGAACACACCTATCCAATGAACATCGCATGAGGCAGATTATTTTTGTAAAACACAATTTTTTTAATTATTATTATTTAGAATAAATTAACTGTCTTAGGCCTAAGTCTTGATAACTTAATAGACATTTCATTGTATATGTAAATAGAATTATTTTTTGGCTATAATTCTTCAGTATACCCTTTATGAAACCACAAATTAACCTTTTAATTATAGTTTGTATTTATTTTGTTATTAGTAACAAAGCAAACAATTTACTGATATTACTATTAAACTATATATTTTATGTATATATTTAAATTACTAAAAAAATTTCAAACATATTTATTTACGAATCCTTAAACAAACATTGTCTTACCGAACTGATTATTTTCGTATTCTACACACCAACAAGATTGTTCCAAATCTCTGCTCATTGAAGTATCTTGAACTTACGAGTGCATTTCCTAGTTGTGCACTCGTACGTCTTTTACGTGGAATTGCAGTCACTTGTTTTTTCTTACTGCATTCGGTGCAGAAGGGATAATGAATTCAAGTCACACATTATGGGAAAATATTGCGGAAGACATAAAAACTAAGCAAGCCGGAAGGAGATGGTAACTTGTGCGATGACACCTAATAGATTTATCCGTTTGATTGAGTAAATAAATTAGAGTAAATTAATTTATATTCGTTTTTAACTTTAAATAAAAAATTTCTTACTTATGTATTATTCTACGGTAGACAGAGTAGCTCGATGGAAGATCAAAGAGAATAAGAATCCTTAAGAGAAATTGAATCTTTATAGATAAAGAATAATTATAATCTTACTAAAGTTTTTGACATCAAGTAGAAAAGATCTATTTTTGTTGCAAAGATACGATAAGCTTGGAACAAGCCCAGTATTCAAACATTTTTCTAATGTATTTGGACGGATACTTGATAATATACTTTAGACATTATAATACAAATACTTGATAATACATATTAATATTTAGTACACATGATAATGAAAATTGAAGTGAATACAACAAAGGTTAGGCTGTCCTAACCATAATACTTTATAAGACCTTATAGCTTCTGAAGTGATCCCATGTTATCTTATAATATCCTTTATTCTTCTCGCATTTTATCCAATCAAATTAAAAATCATTTTGGTTTTAATATCCATTTCCATTGTATGGCTCGACCTACATCGATTAATATTAAATATATCTACAAATTCTTGGAAGAAGCTCGATGTCTGAATCTTTTTTAGAACACCCCTCCCTCGACATTTGTGATATTTCTTCTTCTTTAATTGTTTATTCAAAAATTGAATATTAAACATTCATATAAATTACAATATGTTAGAAATAATGTTTTATAGCAGTCTGTATCATTTCTTCAATCGTTTTTAACCCAGTCTAGTGTAATCTTTAATATACAATTTTTTATATCTTTCTTATAGATTGTGTGTTTTGTTATCTTAACATCATTATAAACTTTTTATTATATTATTATTATTATATTATAGAAAATTATATTAATTAATGTATTCCAAGAGTCATGGACTTTAGTTGCCTGTGCTCCATATAAATAAATAAAGAGAAAACAAATAAATAAACAAAGAATTAAATATATAAATAAACGAATAAAAAAATAAATAATGAACTAAATAAATAAATATAAACATACATAAATAAATAAATAAGAAAAAAAGAATTAATAATGAACTAAATAATAAAAGAACTAACTAAATAAAAAAATAAATAAATGAATGAATAAATAAACAAAAAAATAAATAAACATAAAATAAATAAACATAAAATAAATAATTAAGAAATAAATAAATAAATAAAAAAAAATGCAGATAGCATTCTTAAACAAAAAAATATCAGATATAAGGAATCAAAAATTAAGATAACTAACAATATTACTGGAATACTGAAAGGTATCATCTCACCATAAAATCTAGAATAAAAATGCATTAAGTCTTCGAAGCTTTAGCTTCCACTTTATATTGATTTTATGTTAGACGGATGGGTGTACGAACTGATGCTTATGAAATTGGGGTGTGGTTATAACGGAATAAATATATGTTATTCAGAATACAAAAAGAAGTGAGCTCTATATGCAATCTAAAAATTATTTGAAAAGTAATAGCTATAAAATCCATGACGAGTTGGCGATAAGAAATGTGGAAAATGTTAAATATGGAAAATTGGCTTTAAATGCATTTGATTAATATATATATTCAAATATTATATAATATATACATATATTTTGTTATATTGTAATATAAAATTAACAATTTTTTTGTTTGACTTAATTATTGTGTTTAATAACCTAGTAGATAATATTGAAAAAATGGCACATATATGCACACATGACTTATCTATATAATATATATTACCTATATATATACCTATATACTTATATACTATATAAAGTATATAGGTATGATATATGGTAGGTGGAAAATACCTTTGGGGTAAGCACATTAGTGTATTTGATATATTTATGCATACATATCAGCATAACATTAAATGTAGTAATATATATACATATGAGTTTCTACTTATTTACCTAATAGGACTTAATAATTTTTCACAAATTAGTACTATTGAAAAATTATTTACATATTTTAATTAAAATCTATTTGAGATTGCTTAATCAATAACTCAATTTAATATCTCAAATGTCTTACAATGTAAGTTAAATTTTATTGCTTAAAATGTGTAAATATATTAAAATACATTAATATTTTATAATGCATATATATTATACATAATATATATTACAGAACGCTTATTAATATAGTACATATCCTTATACTCATATGATTGTACTAATATAATAAACACATAATAAAACAAATCTGAAGTACTGTGTTCTATATAAATTTTACAATATGTTTACATATAAAGTTATATAAAAAAAAGAACAACTCCTTCTTTTGAAAAATTAATTTAATTCTTGGCCCGCCAAAATATCTACGAAGTTAGTGCGGAACGAAATACGAAATTTTTTCGCCGCTTTTTTTTTTATAGCAAAATGTTTGTTTCTTTCTTTGCTATCCAGATTATATAAAAATATTTTAGCGGTAGTCTATTTATTAATAAATTAATAATGAAGTTTAAGAACTTCGATTTGCTTATCTTTTTGTACTAACAATAAAAATGTATTCACTCGTTTTCGATAGTTATTAATATGATTCATCTCTTTTTTCGATTTCTGCAATATTTCAGTATTTATTTTTTTATGATTAATTTATTTTCAATTTTTATAAAACTAGAAATTGAATGTTATAACAAAGTAATATTGTTCAAGATCTGTAGCTTTAAGCTTTATTGTCTCAAAGATGTGTAAATTTGGACATTGTAATTGTATTTAATAATTTGTATTTAGTTTAATTTTATTAGAAATAACACATACATACTTACAATAATTTCTACTTTTTCCACCTAAAACTACAAATAATTGCAAATTTTTTGACATCTTTTAAATCATCTGTTTTGTTAAGTTAAAAAAGTCATAATACTAAATTTTATTTAAAAAAATTATGAGGCGAAATAATTTCGCATTTCGTTCCATATTCAACTTTTTCGTTTTCTTGGTGGACTTTTCAATTTTTCTTATTCGAACATAAACTTTTATAGTAAATTTACTATAATATCATAGACACAAACCTTTAATGAATGCTGCCATATGTTTACGTCAAATACTTAATTACTTAAGTACTTAATTAATATACAATGAAATTTTTGAAAGATTAATATGTCACATCAATATATAATATATATATAGATATTTATATATATATGTGTATATAAATTATATATTTATTTATCAGAGTACTGTTTATTTAATTTTTGAAATAATGAATATAATTTATTTTGATTATATATAATATACATATGTATGTTACATATGCAATATAATATAATGTCGCGAATATGGATATATGTAAATATAGTATATTAATAACTATATATGTTTACAGCAAACTGAACATGTAGTTTTAACATTTATTTTGAATTATCTTATAGTTTGGATAAAGTGTTTAACTCTATCTCTGTCTTTATTGTTTTTATTATATTAAGTAAATATTTTAAAAGAGCTGTTGTTGTCTTAATATAAAGTCGTACTATTTACGAGAATATGGCTCTGAACTAGCAATATTTATGGCCAACTTTAGCCATAAAAAAAGATAAAATAAATGTTTATTATAAAAATTTTAAAAGTAAAATTATTAAAAATTCGATCAATTGAATAATAAATTTATTAAAATCTTATAAAATTTAAATCATTTCACATTTTATCAAAATTATATGATGAATGTAATATGATATATAATTGTTAAAAAATTCCAAAGTTGGGAATGAGAAATTATCTATTTATTTCATTTTAATTATATGAGAAATGATATTCAATTGAAAGTAAGTGATATATGTATATAATCAAATATTATTTAACTTATGCAAAACAAAATAAATAATTTCATGTAATTTGTTAGAGAGACAATTATTTTATATTAAATAAATAAAAATAATAATTATGGAATATACAATAGTATAAACTTATTAAAAAAAATTAAATTCAAATTCTATTACTACTTACTGAAAACCTTCCCATTTATTTCCCTAATCTTCTTTATATTTAATTTATGATAGAATAAAAAAAATATTTTTTGATAATATTTTATGAAAATGATTATGTGTTAATATTTTGAAATTATTTAAGTTTATTAATTTATTTCTAGTACAATGTAAAATGCACTGGCGATGAATATGAAATATATATTCTTATTATTTTAACAAATTAACACAATAAATTCACTTTGTACGTGGCAAATATTTCGAAGTTCAAATTCTTACATGATGGCATCACGATGCGGCTTTCCACAAGCAAATACCGAAAATCGAAGAATTCGAAATGAAAGCAGAATCTCCGAATGTCAGTAGAAAATTTGCAAGTGTCGATTTTAGGTGGGGAGTTTTAAAATTTAATGAATTAAACTACTGTAAAATTAATTAATATTTAATAAGTAATTAGTTTTATATATGCGTCGAGTGTTGTATTTCGGTCGATATAGTTTACGTAGTTTTGTCGTGTCGTTTTTGTAGATTTTTCGCGCAATTTTGTTTGTTTTTGGTACATTTTTACATCGTTTTGTGTCTGTAAAAAGCGTCGTCCTTTTGTGTCGGTCTAAAGGAGTTTACTATACGAAAAAACTCAATAAAAAAAATCCAAAAAAAAAATGCACTAATTACAAAACTTGTAATTGAATTCTCAACACCAACGAAAAAATTAATAAGTCTTAAGTGTTTGCTACTTATCTTGCTTAGTTGAATGGGGCTGAAGAGTGGGAGGAACAAAGTGTCAAGGAATTTGTAAAATGTAAAATACCTACAAGGTAAAATAAGAATATCAAGGACCTGTCACCGCCCAATAGGGTTGCATTTGAGTGTATTTGTAAGTATGTGAACTCCTAAAACGTATAAATATTTAAAGAGTTCTTAATTAATTTTACAATTTGCTAGTAAATATCAAAGTTGTGCATTATGAATTGTATAAATTTTGAATAAATTAAATAATTTCATAAATTTAAAAAAAATAATTTGTTCAAAATAAGACTGATTCACTCAACATTCCCTGTTATCGAAATTTGACATGCCACAGAATTTTTAATTATTATTGATAAAAAAAAAACAGAAATGAATATAATGAGATTAAGATAAGTGACAAAAATGACAAAAAACAAAACAACAAATGAAATAAATTAACAGCAATTTTGATTTGTAGAATTTAAAACAAACAAAAACAAGGCAGTAAAACAAAAAAAATGTCCAGAAAAAAGTACCTTTTGGCACGAGTACAGCACAAGGTTATTGCACTTTAAAACTACGAAAGGTGTAGATTTGTTGTAAATTCGGTCCTCGGTAGAATGCTTACACCCCTTTTCTCCTACTGTCAAGGTTGTTGCAGATATTGTTTTAACGATTTTAAACTCAATATATCCAATGAACCATTAAAAAATTCAAATAATTAAGTGATAATATAATATATATATATATATTTATGCACTCATAAATATGAGTATCATATAGATGCTATCTCTGCTTCTTATCAAAGATTACGTGAGATATTGTATATGAAGCAGTTCTCAAGTAATAAAAAAATATGAATAAAAATTTCACTTTTATTATTAACATATTAAAAACAGAATTTTTTATTAGTTTTTGAATAAAATGTGTTATCGTAAAGGCAAATTAATAATATTTCTGTTCTTTGAAAAGGCTTATGTGAATAAAAAATAAAAATTGTGAATTATTTTAAATAAGTAAAATTAAAAATAAAAACTAATTTACAATTTTTTATTCATATAAGCCTTTTCAAAAACCAGAAAAATTTAAAAAGAGAATTCTCACAACTACTCTAAACATATTAGTAATAGTTCTTATTTTATGTGGATTCCATGTTATTTTATTCTACCGTTCATACGAGTAAAATATGATGCTTCAACGGAAGTACTGGGTTGTATTTAATCGTTGTAAACGAGTGTCTCAGGAATGAACACACGGACACTCCGGAAACCATGCGAAATCCGTTGTACCATAAAATCATTTTCATGTTCTCATTACCAAATTTAATTTAAAATAAATCAAACAGATGTTATTTACATGAAACTTCTTGTTTTAGGTTAATTTAATAGAAATGAAACCTTTCGGAAACCTGCGTTAAGAATGTTTATAAGAAATAGATCTATTGTATACTGAATTTTCCAATTTCTCTCTATGTTTCTCTCTATGTTTCTCTCTAACTGAAAGTATCTTTTTGCAAAGAAAAAGTTCGACTTAGGGAAACTTCGAGTTGGAGAATGCTTTTATATTTTTTTATTTTTGAAAGAAACTATTTGAAATCAAATACACCACAGAAGTTATAGTGAAGTAAAATATTTAGAAATCTAGAAAGGTTTTGGGATTTTAATTTTTTTTCTTATTTTAAGCAAAAAGAGATTCCAATATATTTGAAGCCTTATAGTGATTATCAGTTGTAGTATCATCAGTTTGCAAATAAAAATTCAGAATTCTGAATGAGTCTTCAGCTTCATTCTTGGAAGGTTGATGACCATTTTCATCCACTGAATACACAACATAATTTTCCGTTGCGGTCAGAATTTGATTCACTAATTCAGAGCTATAATGCTCTGACCGTAGGAATGTTCGTCAACTGTAGGAAAGCTTGATGTACAAATTTTTTTTGTCAACCTCAATATAATAGTTAAAAGTAGCATTGGAAGTTATTTTATTTACTTTAAATCACGCTTCTTAATTCTGTTTCATCAATTCACGGTCTTCATCTAGGTTATTTAAGAAAACTAAAGGAATGTCGTCCTCTTCGTTCCATGTAGAAAATTGGCAAAATCCTGCTTTTTTAAAGCAGTGCGGTATTATTTGACTACTTACATCAATATCTCAAGCTTTTGTTATATATATGTTATATATATGTGTTATATCTTGTTTTTTGTTTGTTTGTATACGCTTTAGTGCTTCTTTTACGATTCTTTTGTGATAGTTACACTTATTATTTCCTAATCAAGCGGTTGCAACTCCGTCATACTCTTAGGTTGAAAGCTTCGACCCATAAATATTGTAAAAGTTGTGAAGATAAAGCGGAAGAAGAAACAGTGAGCATTTTTTTTAGCTGCCTGACACTAGCTATTAGCAGGGTGTTAGAGATATATTCTTGACAAACTTGTCGTTAGCTCTTTCACAGATGTGTCCAGCACATCTGTAAGTTTAAAAGCATACTGCGTTTTATAAGAGCTTCATAATGATTTCATCAGTAATACAGTTAAGGTGTTGCATTGGGCAGTGGTATCACAATGGAGCAGTAGGATCTAAGTGTGTTAGTCAACTACACCAACGGCCACATTAGTCAAACCTGACCTATGATACAAAGTAATAAAAACCAATCGTGGTCTTTTCATAAATATGCTAATCTATATCATTGTTGATTCAATTTTCTAACTGAATAAGTATGAATACTGATAATGTGTATTTATCGCAGTAACTATAGTTTATATATGTATCCTTATACGGACAACCATTTGTGGAAAAAGCATTTTCAGAATAGAGTTTAGATACAATATAGATTTATCTCCTATCTTGAAAATTGAAAATCAAAAATTTTGAAGAAAATTTTGTATTTTTCTGTAGCAATGTTTTTTATATATTTATCATCGTTGTTGCATTAATATTTTAAAATTTCTTTGTAACTTTTATATTCATACACTGGTTGACAAAACTGTCATCTTCATTTTCATTTGACAAAGGTTTTTGATGTTTACTAAAACAAATGCACAGAAGAAGAAATACTTCAGTACCTTTCCTTCAACGCAACAGTACTTCGTTGATATGTCTTTGATAACGAAATTTCGAAATTTGTTTTGGTTGTATGGAGTTAAACACATCCAATCAATAGACTCGTAACCGCAAACTAAAATCACACAAAACTGTCATATATCTACATCAGTGAAAACCACACAAATGCCAACTTATTAGTTGGCATCTTACATGTTTAATGTGTGACCCTTGGTATTGAGTTAAAAATGTAAATAACTAAATCTATGTAATGATTCCACAGCTTCTTTGGTCGAAGAGCCAAATACTTTCAGAATCAGTGTCATGTGTTATGAAAATTGACATAAGAACGAACATTTGTTTAGATCATTAAGGAACTCACTTGAAATGTCGAAGCCTTTTATGTCTACAGTGAACTTTCATCATGGAAATCACGTAGATCATATTCAGGGAAATACTATTAACATTGAAAAGGATTAATGGAAACAATCTCAGAAGTTTTTGTTTTTGCCCAAGTCTGTTGTTAGTATCTAAACTAATTTTACAGTTGAAAATTCTACTTACTATAGAATGCAATCTTATCATACAAGTCCAAACGTTTAGCACTCTAGAAATATGTTGAAAATTTGTTTTTAGAATCAATTTTATTAACTAATGATATCATTTGTATTATTTCAAATGAATAGTTTGTTGTTTGACGAAGTCTGTCCATTTGTCTGTTTGTCTATTATTATTGAACTAGGATATTTTTCCATTTCTTAACTAAATGAAGACAGCTCAAGTCTGCACTTTTATCTGTATATCCGTTTGGGTGCCTATCTATTATTATTAAACTGGTTACTTTTTTCAAGTTTATACGAGGGTTGATCTTTTAAGTCTTTTAAGTGGTTAATCAGTAAAAATGGTTTTATTGTTTTTCGCAGTATTCTCTATGACGAGCAACACAGTTTTACATTTGATTGAATTAATTTTCAAAACAGTTTTACCACTCTGAAGTTGACATTTCATAAACCAAGATCTTGGATGTGTCAACGAGCAGTTCGGGTGCAGAAAAACGCTCGTTACGCATTTAATGTTAAGGTTTGGGAATAAAAAGAAGTCATTGGATGCTAAATCGGGACTGTCGTGGTGGAAGAAGATCTTCCTTCGACGGTTGGTTTTCCTGAATTCTTGGAAAAGTTCCGGTAAACAAATAGTTGCGTAGCACTCAGAATTGACCAATTTACATTGCTCAAGTGGTATAGTTGCGACATGGCTGTTTTTTCTTAAAAGAATGCTACCATTTACTTGTCGTCTTTGGATGATATTGACGAAATCCGACCAGAAGAAAACGACGACTACGCTTATTAAACCAGCATTTTACAGTCGGTGGAGGTTTTGTTGTGTTCGAATCACTTTGTTCTATTTCGAACCAAAAATCACGTTAACGTCTATTTTATTCACTTTATTTCCGTGTTTTAAACTGAGAATGTAGTCTCGAGAGTGAAAATTGCTTGTCTTATAATAATGTAGACTTGTTTTTTTTACCGCAGTTCTAAATGACTTATAATTTATGACTTACTTATTATGTAGTCTGTTATTAAAATTAATTATATTAATATAATTTTATAAAAATAAAGATTGTAATATTTTTTACAGAGTTAGGGATACACAGATGTAAAGGAAAAATATTTCAACTTCTCTAATATATTTAAAATATTTTGAGAATAATTTTAATTAAATATTAGTTTTTAAGGGCAATAGTTATAATATAGCTCTGATATTATAGTTGACTTTTTAATGGCTTTTTTATATTAACGCTTCTTGCCGGGTCTCAGGGTTCAAAAGTAATCTCTGTTACATGAAACCAGTGCTTTGTAAAACACTATGATCCACACTTTTCTTGAATTGTGTTTTGATATGCACTTTGTTTATAAAAGCCTAAGGAGGTTACTCGTGCTCAAAAGATATTGTTGATAGAGAGATTGTAAGTATAAAATATATAGATTATATATGACTTTTAAAGTCAATTATCCCGAAAGAAACCATGTTTCTTAATAGAAACTATTGTTTTACTAGAAAAGTGTCCTCATCTTTCACTGATGATAAGTATTTCCCAATACTCGATATAGCTGTATGGCCAGCCAAAGATTCCATTAATTAAAAATAAAAAATTTTGATTGTTGTAATTTACTATTGTTCAAAATACCTCTATATGCAGTTTTTCTTAGTTGTGACAGATATGCTTTGCAGATACATAATTAGTTTGTCAGATATTGAGACTTTTTTGATTTAATCTTCAACCTAATCTGAAGTATTCCACACATTACTTTTTGTTTCTTGTATTAAGGTGTTAGCTGTGATGCAATTGAATACACCGATCTAGTATTCAATTTCATCAAGAGTTGTAGAATCATCTGTGAAGCACTTGGCCCCAACAGACAACAAGAGGTGTATAGAAACGAGAGGATGAAGGATGAAGACCTTCAAAAACTCCCTTCGAAAAAGCTGGTTCTCGATATACTAAACTTCTACATACGAAGCGGTGCACAATATATCAAGTTGATCGCAGTGCAAAGGGTATAGGCCAAGGTGTCAGCTAATATTGTTTTGTAAAAATTTATGTAAATGTAATTTTTTTTTGTCAATTGAATATTTTCTCAACCTAATGAATAAAATTTATACTTTGTTTTTGTATTAAATTTTAAATTTCAATTGTTTGTGTTATTAAAAAAGATTTATGTACGTAGGTATTTTAATTAAAAAATTCTTCAAAACATTTTATTTTGGCAAAATCTTATTTCTACTAGCTTCTCAATATTGTTTTCCACTTAATACTATTATTTACTTAGCTCTATTATTTTATTATTATCATTGGCATACGAAAACACAAATCACAGTACAAATATTTATTTAAAATATTTGAAGTTTTTATGTACTTTAATTTGGTATATACTACACCACAGTTTTACGTCATGGTTAATATAAAATACACAACACGATTAACTTTTAAGAACTTTTAAGATACTTTAGCTCTCCTTTTGAATTTATTTAATTTTATTTAATTAAGATTTAATTTGAAACAAATTGACTATATAAGACAATGGGAAGAATCTCATGATGGTGGAAAATTAGGAGACCAAAACTGAATTTGGTTGTATCGGCATTGAGGAAGAAGAGAAAGGTAGTTTAGGTTTCGAGTGTAGAATAACTTTTAGGTTTTCTCATTTACATTTTAAAGCTTTAACTAAAATTTCTATTTAAATGTCGCTTTATCTGTTGAAAATCCCCATAAGTGAATTCCTTTTCGATGAGGTTCCCTTCAAAGTTTTTATATATTTTATTTTTCAATATTATCTATCAAAAGAAAGGTAGAAAAAAGTATATAATCAAGCACGTGATTCCATTTTATTCCGCTTTCCTGTTTACTCTGAATTTGTTTTATTTTATTTTATTCTATTTTATTTTAGTTTACTTTATTTTATGTTTATAAATCAAATAAATAAAATAAATTCAAAATATTTGCTACCTTCGCAAATTGGCTATCAGTTTCATAGTTGTCAATTCACGAAATAGGAAAAAAAAAGAAAATATGAATTCTGCATCGGCATACAATTATCCCATGGAAGAATGTTCTCCCAAACCTGCCGCTCGATGACTATCGCTTAGAATCTATTTCCGGTTGAAAATTAATTTCTTTTTAGGCGCATTGACAGTGAGAGGTGTTCCTTCCTTCGTATACATCCGAAAAGTGAAGCCAAGCATAGATAAACATTTTTCTTTTAATATTTTTTTGTATTATATTATTCTATTCTGCACCCTTGTTCCCTTATTCCCTTGTAATGGGTTGTCTTCGTCTGCTTACCACCGTTAAATGCGTTCACCATAACCGTTCCAAAAATGAGCACCGAACAAAAAAAGGCAAAAAGTTGTTCTCAAAGTATGATTGACATGTTCATGTTTAAGATGCTGTTAAAATACCTAAAAGCGTTAAAATTAGTGGGGGCGACGATGGCGGAGGTAGCAGTATTGGTGGTGTGGTATACATGGCAATTGAATTAAATTTTGAAGAAATATTTTACTTGTTTTTCATAACTTAATTATACGCATTTTTAAAATAATTTATTTTATACTTTTAGGTTTTTTTTTGTTTTTGTTTTCCGTAAAGACATGAATTCTTAAAATAACAAACGAAGTGGAGAAGACTCTAGAGAAAATATACACAGTGGCGAAAAGTAGAAGTGGTTGTGGAAGCAGAAGCAGAATCAGAGGCAGAAAAGATCATCACAATAAAACGCGTTAACCGAAGGCGATTTATAGTAACGAACTGACGAACTGACGAATTGACGAACTGAAGACCTGAGCACTACGCCTGCACTACGCCTGCACAACTCAACACAACTCAACACAACTCAACTCATCAGTATTCCTCCTTAAACAAAGCAATTTAGTGTTGGGCAGCAGTTCATCAATTATACAAAATGGCAGAAGATGAAATCCTATTCGACGATGTTTACGAGTTGTGTGAAGTTATTGGCAAGTAAGTGATGAAAGTTTGTGACATCATTTGTTTTATTTAACTTTATTTGTTTCTGCTACCAAAAGTGAAAATAAATCAACAGCTTCGAAAGTAAGATGCTTTCATTAATATAATTTTTCTTCTTCTTCTTTTGGTTTCAGGGGACCATTCTCAATTGTACGCCGCTGTATACACAGGGAATCGAACCAGCAGTTTGCTGTTAAAATAGTAGATGTTGCGAAATTCACTGCTAGCCCTGGTCTAAGTACATCTGGTAAGCTCGGGCATTCTTGTTATGTGAATAAATTATAATTAAGCAGATCAATTATTCAAAATTATGTTTCCAAAGAGCATTTATGTTGCAACAATTCGCCAATTGATACGACCTTCAAAAAATATACAGTCACTTTGACTAACGGCTATGCTGTTTTCTATATATATAAATATGTATACTCTCGTTTACATATATGAATTATTGAAAATATTACTGCCTATTAAGTTTTTGTTGAATCCATGACGTATATTAGACATTATGACAGTTGCAGATGGTGCTGTCTACTCAATTTGTGTTTGTTTTTACTTCTACTTTTACTTCCAACAAAAAAAAAAATAATAGAAGAAATCCATAAAATTGCAAAATATTAGAAAATAAATAAAAACAAAATTTGTTATTGAAATACTTGTAGATTCTTACATTGTTATGAATTATAATATATATGTATATATATATCACTACTTATAGTATTTGAGTAATTGAACATCTTTAAGATTAAGGGACTGAGTAAAATGTGAAATATGTTTGAAGAAGTTTGGAATTTAATTAACAATATCAAATCGAAATCTGAAAATATTTTTATATAAATTACGAAAATACTTGTACTTTTTTAAAATAAGAATGGAAGCGAAATTCTTCCAAATGCTTATTTCAACAAGCACATAACTTTAGGGAAGGGTATGAAGAGCTGAAGCCTATTGAAAAGTTATATGTACGTAAATAGATCTTTGATAAAATGCTGTTGTCTCCAGTAAAAATGAGTGAAAATTACGACTTGGATCTTCTTACGAGTTTGTGTATTCTACTAATCACAATAGCTACCACTAAAATATTGTTTTATATCATAAAAAATAATAACAATTTTATCAAGAAATGAATGTGGCCATTATAGACTGAGTGTGAATGCTATAATTTCGATTCTATGGTAGCTTGTATTCTTAGTCATTATCAAAATCAAGAATATCTATTTTTAATTTAAGAAACAATTTTAGTACTGTAAATATAATACAGTATTTAGACCATCTTCTGCTAAATTCTTAAAAATAATCTTTATTATCTTATATCTAAGCATTCTTTGAGTTTAACTTTAACAATTGTGGCAGATATCTTTATAGCAAACTAAATGCTTTTCCTGGTGCAAAATATTTGGATTTGGTTAATTGGAACAGTTAGCATGCCCACATAAACAATGGTATTACAATGACTAAAATGATCCAAAAGTTATGCTAAGTAGGCCGTTATTTTTGCAAGACGATTTGCTATTTGCAACCTCCCTTTCAACACACAGACTAAAAATCATGCAAAAGCAGAACATTTTTACGAATAATATTTGTAGTAATATATGGTAACGGTATAAGGGATTAGAAGAAACGAAGTTAGAATATGTGAGGTGCTAATTGAAATTTGCCTGGGTTAAAGTGAATGGATCGTGGTACTTCATTGGGATGAAGTCTTAAATAAATAGGGTTCTAGTTGGTGTGTGTGGGAGGACATGAAAACTGCTGCAGTTTTAAGTCATGGGTTCTTTATATGCGGCAATTAAATGATCGGAAAGTGGCTATATCTTGAGAACAGTTTTTGTTACACGAAGCAGACATTTTCTGCTCTAGAGATTTCAGACGAATGTCTGGTGAGGACTTATTGTGAGGAAAACTTGACTTCAAATAAGATTAAGAATTAAGAATTAATATATTGTTTATATGTTCTCGTAATAGTTTTTTAAATAGTAAATTTAAGTAAAATTCTATTGTTCACTTTAAATAGTACTTATACCATTCTTTAACTCGTTTGTTATCGATTCGTTTTAAATTTGAAATGTAGGTTCGCGTGTTTAATCGTTAATAGACTAAGCCAATGTCACACTTACATCTTTGGAGTTAAAATCTGAATATTAGCAATTCTCTTTTCTATTCGAAATAGATATTTTTGTTATACGATAGAACAGTTTTAATTGTAAATTTTTTTTCTAGTTATTATTTTATTTAATAGTAAAATTATTTGAAGCAGTTTTTAAGTAAATAGCATGTTTAATTTAATTAGAACAAAATATGCTAATTTCAGACCTGAAGAGAGAAGCCACAATATGTCATATGTTAAAGCATCCACACATAGTAGAGTTGCTCGAGACATACAGTTCAGAAGGCATGCTTTATATGGTATTCGAATTGTAAGTAAATGAAAATATAGATTATCCCAAACTTAAATTTTTAATATTTCTGTAATTTATAAATTCTAAAATCTTTTTATTTTAGTATGGAAGGTTCAGACTTGTGTTTCGAAGTAGTGAGAAGGGCAGTTGCGGGTTTTGTTTATAGTGAAGCTGTTGCATGGTAAGAAAATAGTATTGTATATAACATTCTGTATTGTACATTATAATTATTTTATATTTTAAAGTCATTATATGCGACAAATTTTGGAGGCTTTGCGATATTGTCATGAGAACGATATTCTGCATCGAGATGTACGACCAGCATGTGCACTTTTAGCTACTGTAGATAATTCGGCACCAGTAAAATTGGGTGGTTTTGGCTCAGCTATACAATTGCCTGGTGGCAGAGAAACAATAGAAACACATGGTAAGTCTCTATAGCAACAACACAATATATAAAACAATTAAAATTTTATATATTTTTAATAATTTAATTCTAGGGCGCGTTGGTTGTCCGCACTATATGTCACCAGAAGTAGTTACGCGACGTTCTTATGGTAAAGGGTGTGATGTATGGGGTGCAGGTGTTATGCTGCATGTACTGCTCTCAGGTCGACTACCATTTTTAGGATCCGGTATTAGATTACAAAACTCTATTGCGCGTGGACGTCTTACGGTACGAGTTAAAAGTATTATAAAATTAATTGAATTAAAATAAATGTTTCTTCTTTTTTATTAGTTTGAAGCGCCAGAGTGGAAATCAATATCAGCAACTGCCAAAGACTTAGTAATGAAAATGCTTGCAGCAAATCCGCATCATAGATTATCAATTGCTGAAGTGTTAGAACATCCATGGATGCGGGTATGTTTCTTTTATTTAAATATATATCATTATTAAATTAATATTTGATCTATAGGATAGGGATAAATTACAACGACAACATTTAGCTGATACAGTTGAAGAATTAAAACGTTATAATGCTAGACGTAAGTTAAAAGGTGCTGTTCAAGCTATTGCTGGCGGTACTACATTAGATCCACTTTTTGGCACAGACACTGATTCAAGTAAATTAATAAAATTATTGGATAGAGTTTTTAGAGAAAGACATTTATCATTTCTAAATTTTAGTGCCTGTTGCATCAGCTTCAGATATGTTAAACGAATGGGCTGATGAAGAAGCTGGTATTGAAGCTGTGCAAAGAATACTTGACTGCCTTGATGATATATATGCTTTACAAGACTCAAATGTTGATCCAGATGTACTACGTGAAATGTTACGTGATGGTAGATTACATCAGTTCTTACAAGTATGTATAAAATAGTTTTTGTTTTAACTAATATATTGTTCTAATTTGATATATTTTTAGTTATTCGATCGTATAAGCTCAACAGTTATATCACCAAATCGCGCTCCACCTGGAGATGCTGTAACACGTAGCAGAGATGTGATAGAATTATTGGCTTCCGCGGGTGGAAATAAATTTCTGAAAGATGAACTAATGCAAGTTTTAGCAACACCACATGTACAGGTAAGTGTTTTTCTATTGAGAATTTATTATATGTATTGTGTCAAGAATCTTCTTAAGTGCTATTAGTTAACATTTTGAGTATTCATAATAGTTTCATCTTAAAACTATTTGCATTTTATAAATAAACTTTAATCAATTATTTCATGGTAATAAAAATTATAAGCGATAGTTTATATATTTTATCCAAAATTATACAAATTTATTATTAAATATTTATATATTTAATAAACAATATTTTTAAAGTAAATATTTATAATATATTATATTGTTATTATATTATTATAATATTATTTAAAATATTTTGAAGTAAGTATTAGATTTGCTGTGAAAAAACTACGCTTTCTTTATATGGTGACAAAGAAGCTATAATAAAATTTAGATGGTTTTCGAATTGCAAAGAAAGAAAGAAAGGACAAACAGGCACGAGTTCTAAGCGTGGCACTTGCAGTCCAAACAAATTATATACGGACTATAAACTAGTTAAAAATTTGATTATTTCCTAACACCACTGATGATGAGTACTTGGTAATACTCGAAACAGCGTTGTATGGTCAGCCAAATTTCAATAAAATTAAATAAATTTTTGTTTGTCGTTTCTTTCTTTGCTATTCGGAAACCCTCTAAATTATTTATATTTATAAATTTATAATAAATATAATAAATTTAGTAATATATATATATATAAATATGATGTATAAATGTATAAATAAACACATATATATATATATATATATATATACTTATATATAAATAAATATACATTTATAAATATGTTTAAAGCTAATATTTTGAGTGATATAAAAAAAATATTTATTTTTATCTTAATATATTTTTTTTAATTAAAGTTTCTTTGAAATATGATTCGATATTTATTCAAATGAAAAATACCATAGATCATCTATTTTAAATGCCTATTGACTATTGACTCCTTTACTGGTATGATAAGAGCAACATTCAAATTATTATTTATATATAATTTTAAATATAGTTTATAGTTGCATTTCTTAGAGCTAATAAAAGATAACTTTTATTTAAAAGATCAGTATTCGAAATTCTTTGAGCCGGTTTATTTTACGCCATAATCTATTGATACAATATACAATATTGCAGTCTATCGATTTCTCGTCTCGTTTGTAGTTTAGAAAACAAATTCTTGACGTCAATTAAAAGGAGCAAATTAGTGTTCTGTAAGAAATTGTGGAATTAAACCAATGTATTTCACAACATCGCCAACCATCGAATTTGATATATTATCTTACCACATAATATTCTATGGTTTGTATTAATCAATGTCTTTATTTTACCTTTGTAAGCATAAGTTGTCCTTCCAGAGCAAAATTTCAGAAACCTGTTCTGGTTTGGTGTTCTGTTAACATGTGTTCTCTTAGTAATAAAAAAGTAAAATACTTATATATGCTAATAAATGCTAATAAAGAAACACTTAAAATAAAACAAACTTCTTCACTAATAAGTTTTGCCATATCAGTTCTCAAGATATATAATGACAATACTGCTTAGATGTAAACTTAAGCACTAAAAACCTCGTTTGAGTTTTTTATTGAAAAAAGCAATATTTTTCAAATAACCTATACTGCATACCCTTTCCTGGTATTCTCAATACCAAATTAGATTTGAGCATTTCAAACAGGAAGAACTAGCTTTTTGGCTTAGGTTGTTATGTCTTGTAGACAAGCTCTGCAGTCTCTATATTATCGTTTAGTATATTTAGTCATTCTCTGTGTTTCTGGATAACCAATGGATTTGTTGAAAGATAGAAATTTCCATCAAAAATGTTTTATTAGCAAATTGATAAGAACGTTTTTTATTCGATTTTTGATACCAATGTGTATCAATACTCGTATATGTACAGATTAATTGCCAAGTTAACATAGGAAATTAAGTAAAAAAGACAGAATGAAAGTAGATCATATCATCTTATAAGATTTCAAACAAAGTATATAGGAGTCTAATCAGAATTATCGGTGAGGTATATATTTTTTATTTGTGTTTATAAAATCCTTTTTAAGAACTTTGTTGTCATATCTTTTTTAATGATCGAGAGTTAATAGAACTTTTAAGAAATTATCTGTGAGCATAAGTCATTAACGAAATTAGTAGGGTTAAATAAGAAAAAACCGCGACTGTCGGATCGAGGACTAATTTGGCAAGTAAAAGAAAAACATAAAAACAAACATAAAAAACATAGTGAATATATAAAAATTTAGAACAGTCCATCGTTATTAAAAAAACTATTTGTATTGTAATGTGTAATTTAACAAATAAAATTTAAATTTATTTTTTAAATATTTTGTATATTTAAGCTCACTTCACGTGCCACTTTAAGTCTTGTTGACTTGTTTCGACAATATATTCATGCCTCCTCGTCTCTTTACGCGTTCTGTTTGTTTTGAAAAACTGTCAATATTGTAAATTGACGGACAGTACTAATACACGAGCCACTCTATCAACGGGTATAAACAAACTAATCGTTAGATGGCACTAAAAACAGACATGGAAGCATTATATTCTTTCTTAAAGTGTTAAAATTTAAAATTATTTGATATTTCATATGAAATTTAAAAAAATAATAAATTATATATGAATATATATGAAATTTAAAAAAACAATAAATTATATATGAATATATATGAAATTTAAAAAAATAATTAATTAATTTTAATTTTCGGGCGCCACGATTTGAAAACGGATTCTCATAAATCTCAATCTTCTGAGGAACTTATTCCACTATGCTATAGTTAGACGGTATAGCTAGACTGTTGATATATGGGGCTTTAATGTTTTAAATTTTTTATATTAATTACAGTAACAAGAACTAAAAAGCATATCTAGTTGTAATTAATATAAACAGTTTTTACATATATACCATAGTGAAGCGTCTACTTGTTATTAGTGTTTTTTATGTAAAATTTTGTGACTTTAAAGCCATATATATCGAAAATTAAGCCATATATATCGAGAATTAAGTGGAAAAAGTTATACAGAATATTAAAATTGATTAAAATCCTTTGGTAAATCGTGACAGCCAGGAAATCGGAATCATGCTTCAAATATCAAAGAGAATTTTCACTGCTGAGTTTGGCGCATTTATTTTGCGTATAGCCAAATGCTTTGTTGTGGATTTTATATTTAAATTTATTGCTTAAAAAAATATCCTTTAAACATTTTTTAGCGCCATGTGACTTCAGTTTTATTTGGTTACTGAAATATATGTATGTATGAATGAACAAATAAATGTTTTTATTCATTTGTTCAAAGTAAAAAACAAATATGTTTTAGAGTAATTTAATATAAAATTTTTATAATAGAGAGGTTTTTGAACAGTAGTGTGTTTGAACAACCTTTTTATTAAAACAATAGTTTCTATAAATAAAATAGTTTTTATCATAATTGACTTTAACATCAAATTTAATATAAAGTTGTTGAAGCTTCAGGTACACAGACTTCAGCTCATATTATTGAGTGTTGAAAATGAATATACATATTTTCAAAAGTAATATCGTAATAACATATAAAGATAAATAATATTTTACTTAGAGCTTAGTTGAGGTACTTCGAGCTCAACTCATACTGTAGTGAACTGAAATCGAATACACATGTATACAAAAGCAATGTTATAATATTATAAATTTTTTTTGTGGGTGAGAATGTGAAATTACGTTGTGCACCGTTAAAGTAATCGTCCGCAGAATGGTATGCCTGACTCCTACTGTATAATATACGGATTAAAACACAATTTCTTCTTTTTTGGAACTGCACCCCTTAGGATCAACTTCGAATTACTTCGGGGAGGATCTCTTATTCATAAAATATGTATGGTGTATACTTCTTGTAGAACCTACTTCCAGGCACCCACTCCTGTTCCGATTCAGAAGTCTTTAGATTGCTATTGTCTATGCTGCGTCCAGTTGTTTCCTTTTTCCGGATCACGTTTCATATGAATTGTGTGATTTTGTTCCAATTTTCTGTTTGTTCTCTTAAATTTTCAATGATATTTTCGACAATGAAGTGATCAATATTCTCTTCTAGCAACGTTCTTTCTTCATGCCAAAATCTTTCACAGTTGAAAAAAAAGTGTTTAGCATTGTCTTTCTCTGTTCCACAATATATATAGTACTCTGTTTTTCGTTTTCTATATAAATTTTTAAAAACATCCATAACCATAGCTAGCTGGGTTTGTTGCACTCGGGTAAAATTTGTCATCCATCTTCATTTTGAATCTGAGTTCCATCGTTGTTGATAAATCCGGAAGGTTTGTTCTCTTACGTATTAAAATTTTATTGAGTTATTTACCGATCTCAGTTCTCTGCGTTTTCTTCGTTCGTAGGGGTTTCAAGTAAATAGGTATGATTCCGCCGATCAGTAGAACTACTGCCTTGGATACAGTTCGGTACGCAAAAGCTGTACAGTTTTTCTTTTTTTTTTTCATGAGCTTTTCTTCTACATGCAATTTTTAAATCGTCTGCACAAATCTTGCATATATAAAGTACTATGGTTTGTGGTGGGATTTCTTAAGTTAGCTATCAGTGTTGCTTAAGATGCAGCAACTTTGCTTGCATTTGCCGATGTTTGTTTTATTTGAGCCCAATAAGTCGACTTGGAGTCTAGTCCCAATCCCCAGTATGTAATCGCCTTTTGCGGGTTTATGGTGTTGTCATTGATATGCATCCCAATTTCTAATGGTATATGCGTTTAGTTAGATAAATAATATATATTATATAAATAATATATATTAATATATAAATAATATATATTAATACATACAATAGTAATAAATGATTTGATCGGAATATATGTGACTGAAGAAATAAGGATAACACACACATGTTATAATAATATTTGTATAACCAGATTGTAGTTATATTAATTGCCCCTTTCAAGGAGCATAGTTTGCCTTTTTAACAACACACAGTCGGCAGTCAGCAATAACAGCCATCGTAGCCATCGCAACCATCGCATCCTTGTGCTTATGTGCATAAGTT